TTAGAATACATCGAAATATACTCGTAACGCGGTATAATATTCAAATTGCTTTATTTTGTATTTCAATTTAATGTAAAACAAAATAAGCAGCAGCGAAGCACCAGAGTCAAATTTTCGTCGTTGCCATTATTCAAATTTTTTTAGAGGTTTTTAAAATCCAACGGTTTTCCTGTGAAAACATGAAATTTGAACGGTTTGTAAGGAATTCAATCACCGTTTAAAACCGTTAAAAATTGTCAGCACTCAATGTTCATACGTTTTACACGCTAACACTAGGGCCTTTCACATTACATTCCGTGTCAGAGGAATCGGACCCCGGAACACATTATTTATATTTGCATTTTAGATTCTGAGTAGAGCACAGAAGCTTATGGTTCTATAAAGACGTTTTTATTATTATTATTATTTTACCTGTGCGCAACTATTCTACCAGAAATCCGATTTTTAAGAGTAGCATTTTTTTCTAAAAGGCAATCTGACTGAAAAGGTACTTTAGGGAGGTTATTTTTCGATTTCCCAAAGAGTTTTCCCAGCAAAAGTGAAAAAATAAAAAAAACCGGGAATAACGCAGGAAAAACAGAAAAATCGGTTTATTAAACAAATATTATTAAAGAAAATATATAATGCCTATTTAATTATTTTACCATAATATGACATACATATTGTTGAAAAAGTATCATTTTCAACTGAACTCTGCTCAAAATCGTTTTTTCATTATCAATGGTTAAATTATCTATAATAGTGACTGCAGTCATTTCCATTATCTCAGGATAGCTTTTTTTTAATTTTTTCGAATTTTATATTAATAGCTGTCATGCATGGCTCGTGCACTCTTATTAAAATTACGCCTTTAATACCAGACCTCCAAGTATTCTTCGCTACTTCTGTCCATTGTGCTCCAGGTTCTACCACTCCTACATCTCTGACAACACGGTCCCCCCATCTCAGGCGCGTTCTTCTCGGAAGACACATTCCTACCGGGATGTTTTCGATTACGGTTCGTATTATTGATCCCTGTTTTCTCCACGCGTGTTCTGCCCATTTTAATCTCCTGAACACGGTTTCTTTTGTAAAGCTTAAGTATCGAGAAAGGTCCTGGAGTTTCCGATTATTTCTTTTTCTCCGATTCCCGATTCGATCATCTTTATATGGACTAAAACTCCTACTTAGAATTTTCCTTTTGACGTCATCCGAACTTATTTCCTCTGTTTTTTTTTTTTTTTAAGAAAACAGTCCACGTTTCCGAGTCGTATAGTACCACTGCCGGGCGTATATCAACGTTATAATATATAACAGTATTTTTGAATTTTCTGATATAGCTTTAGAACTCGAAAGATTTGCCACACTCTAATCGCAACTATTTCCTTTGCCAAGTCTAATATCAGTCTCGACGTAATTTTTACGGACACGCAGGGCCCGCTCAAGAGGGGGCTGTTAGACCTGGAATACAGGGGCCCGTGGAAATGAATTTGTGATTTCTGAAACGATGGAATGCAACGATTATCGATTGAAACGATTAGATATTTATACCTGGCGGTTCTATCCCCCCTTTTTTTTTTCTGTTTTCGTTTAGATAATATCGTGATAAAAAAGACGTAATTATTATCAAAATGTCTTAAGCGTTTTGATGTTCAATAATTTACGGTGAACCGTACCGTCGGAAGTTGTATAAAGGGCCCGGGCAAACATTTAGTACAGGGGCCCGGAACACGACGCGGGGGGGCCCCGCGGACACGTGCGCGGCTAGGGCATTGTGTTTGTACGCGAAATATTAACGCTTCCGCGGTTTTTCCTGTACACGTTTGAACTGCAGGCCCATCCGACACTGTTTGTTCGCGGCGGCGTCCCGCGAAGTACTCCATCCGGGACGGTGTAATCCCGACAGTTGTGACGGGCACGGTAATCGCCCGAAATCGCGAACGTTGCCGCGGTGCGGCGGCGGTCACTGTATTATACGCATCCTACGCCGTGGTCGGCGTCGCCGTTCGTCCGCGGCGCACTCGACGGGTAGGTTCGTCAAAGGCCGACGCGCCGGTCGGCGGACGCGGTGAAGGGGATCGGCGCGGTCGGAGTAAATAATAACAGAAGGTTAGTCGGGACCGCCGCCGACAAAAGGACGGTAATGCAAACTAATAACCCGTGACTGCGGCCAGATGGGCCGGTTTTGCGCGCGGGCCGCCCGATTGTTATCGTGATGATTATTATTATCGTGATTGCCGCGCGCGTGTGCGTGCAGTATTGTGCGCGTACGCACTGTACACATAACAACATTATAATATAGCGGTGCGCTACTCTATTATAATAATAATAATAATAATAACAATGATAATAGGTACTCTGCCGCGCGCCGCGGTCGGTGCGTTTTATTCGCGAGGTCAGTCCCGTCATTATCCGGCGCGCGAGTACCCGCAGACCGCGGCCGCGCGGCCGCGGTACCTATGTCGCGCGCCGGCGACGCGGTCGAAATGGCACGCGCGGCGCCCGACTTTGTCGGCGGCGGGGGGGGAGATTTTTTTTTTTTTTGCCGCGCGTCCCTCGCTAACTCGTACCGTTCAATCGACACCCGGCGGGGACGTTCCGCGATCCTCTATACTCGAGACGCTTTCGGACGAGACGCTTTGCGGCCGTCGGCCGCATTTCGATTTTCCAGTGGAACCGGCGAAAGAACGGACCGGCCCGCAATAAAACCGACGAAAAAGAAAAAAAAAAATGCTACCAAGCATATCCGGCCGACCCCGTGCACCGCGGTTGCGGTAGACGGCTGCTACGCGGCATTTCGCCGCGACCGTACGATGTGAACGGGTGTATATTGTGCGCTCTCGTTCGCGACACCGGAATAAAATCGCCATGCGGTTTTTCGCCGTACAGTCAAAACCGTATGCAATGTGCAATGGCACCTCAATTGCGGCAGTTGTACCGTCCGCGGTTTTTTTTATCCGCGCGGCGTTCACTGAAACGCCGAGATCTCCCCTCCCCCTCCCCTTCTAACCCGACCGCCGTCCGTAGTTGTATAATTATGACAAATACCATCGCAGCCTGCAGGAAATATGAATACAGCCGTTTAATATTATGCTACGTAAACTTACACGTGGCATTTATGAGGTTAACAAGAAGGTCAATATTTATTAACGTCCCCCCCCCCATGGATTTTCGAAGACGGACGCCCTTGGCTACCGGTCTTAATTCGTTATCGCTGTCGATTAAAAAATCCGTAGATACAATACTTTGTGAAATATTGACGGAAATAAATTCTTACGAATAAAAATAAGAATCTGGCAAATTAATTAAAAAGCGTCGTGGAGGGACCGAAATCGTCCGTGGCTTAAAAAACATTGTAGACGTGGGGTTACTCTCCCCTAATATCCGTTTACATTATTATACGTAATTATACAGATATCCAAAACTGATATTAATTCAAAAACATTACTTTGTTTTTGATAACAATTTATAATATTCTGTGAGGATGTATATTAATGAATAACCCATACGCGATGACTCATAAACAGGGCCGTGCATTGAACGCGCTGTAAAACAATGATTCTACATGCATGCGAAATATACTATAGGTACAGAAAATGATATGCAAAATGTATAATTATTGTACGCTACATAATATGGAATACATAATTTCGTGTTTAAAATCATTAAATCATATTTTTTAACAAAACATTACTTTTCGATTGGCTACTACCTGTTCACTGATAAAAAACACAACTAGTCGAATTTCGTCTACGTGTACGATTCCTAAAAATTCGCGTGAAACATATTTTCATTGCCGACAATAAATTAGCTGGCAAACATTTTATTTTCCCATCGCTATCGTATAATTATAATTCTGCTAATCCTATTTCCGGCGCTATTGAGTTGGTACAAGTAATATTTTCCTAAGTAACGGTGTTTTAAAATTTCATTTCTATTTAATTAGCCGCCGATTTAAAATATCGGTTCTCCGGCTTGAAACATAATAATAGTATTATATACCTACGTGTCACCCGTGACGACCGAATGCGGTTTGTTTACCCGGAAAACAATATTATTTTAATACATTTATACTCGTTGATCGAAAATTGAAATTTTTAACAGGCCGGAAAATACGTATTACTAATACATCGAGCACGAAAAGTAAGAGCGTATAATACATTAAATACACGTGAGTAGAACTTCTTCTCTTTTTTTCTACCCGGCTTTGACTGTTCTAAGATTATAATATGTACCGCTGAATAAAAAACACGCCGTAACCTATAACAGCTTCTCTCCATTGGATTATTGACTCCACTACTTGAACACTCTTGTCGCAATCTTCACAACTCGACCTTGGTTTCTCTCCAGAAGCCTATTCCCTGCAGTGGTCTTCTTTGAGTATCTGCTTTTATTTCAGATTCCTGCACATGTCTGCAGTCTTCTTTTAGCGATCTAACTTTACCAAATCTTTGGAACTGATTTTGAAATTTGCTTTTATGTTTTTTGATTTATTCTCATCTATTCATTGGTTCGGATATCAAAAATTGAGCGATACATTTTTTGAAAACTTTCATCTCGAAGCTAGCAGATCTCAGGTTTCACGTGCTTTTCTCAGTGGCCCCGGCCACGTCTCAGAATAATAATAATTTCATAATAGTGTCATACACTATTACCTTGTATCGATTGTATCCTAGAATTTCAAAGTTTTGATTCACTTATATGTATTTTAAACGTTCACATCACACGAAATTATCAAAACTAGTACCCCGCTCGACCTTTAGAGTTTAAACACTGAACTATCCGAGCCAGTTATAGTTGTAATGTTGCATTTTTGAAAAACGCCCGCTAATTTGTAGTTCTTCGAGGAAGGTCCTTGATTCAAGAACTCATTCTAGTCCGTAATATCCTTAACTCGGTAATTATGTCCTCAACGATATCACCGTGTTCACGGCATTCCCCTGCGTTGTGATCGACCTCAAATATGATCCACCTAAACATAACATTGTTTCATAGGTAATTGTTATAGCGACAACATCACGATGGCCAGCACTAAGAAACCCAACCCGAGCAAGACCAAGACGCTGGAGGACCCACAGTTGCACAAGAACTTCTCGTACAACTTGGACGCGTGCATAGTACAAGGGTCCAGGAACGATCGGGACACGACACCCACCGGCCCCGGAGTCGTGGAGCGCGTGTGGATAACGAACCGGCCGCCGAGACTGGGACACGGCGTGATGCCGACCGTCAGCGCCCGACGGGCCTACGTGATGCTTACCCATATCCAGGGCCAGACGATAGACACCGGTGACATGGTGTGCAAAAAGGTGTGCACCAGCGGCGGTGCCAGCGGCCAGGACAATCCGATCAACACGGCCGCCAACCCGAGTACGACCAAGCAGGCCTCGGCTTGTGCGTCCCGCGGTCCTACTTGCGATTAACGCGATAGTGAAAAGCAATGTTAATTTTATTATTAGAGCGATAAACAGTCATAACCGTAATCGCGTTAGATGTGTTTCTTAAAATTCACTTGACGCCCGTGTCGACATTTGTTCTGTTTAACTGCACGAATAACTAATCAAATTTTAAAAATGAGTACACCCCTGAACCATTGACAAGTCTAACATCCAAGACCAAAGAATGCAAGACTCGTACAGTCTTAGCACATCCCCCCACCAGAAAAACAAATTCAATATAAAAAATAACATTGAAATAAGGAACAGGTGTGTCACTGTTGTAGGTTGGAAGTTTAGAAGATTGGATACACAAAGTAATTTAATTAATATCTGTATGCGATGATAAGTCGTTGCTAACGAAAAATAATTTTAAGCAATGTTCGGTTGTATACGTTTTGAAATGTCATCATTTTCATGATTTTCGTTAAAATCGTATAAAGTTTACAGTTTAAAAAAACCAACTAAGTATAACTTACAATGAATCTCGTATTATATTATCATACAATTTTAACCATATAATTCCTAACAAATAAAAACTAAAACATGTCAAATGCCTACAAATAGGTCAAATATCGCCAAAATATTCAAAATATTATATTCCGTCTATAATAGTCCAATATAAATTAAACCGTTACATTCGTAAATTGTCCCTTTTTTCCTAAGTTTCTTCTCGGTTAGGCTCAACTGTTGAAAAAACTACACAAAATTAAATAAAACGACTTTTTCACTCATCAATTAAACGTAATTGTGTTTCAGAAAACATAGGTAGCACACTCGATTTTTCGTGCAGGATTTCTAGTAGAAAATATAAATTGAAAAAAGTAATAAAATAATATCGTTAACGCTATGGTGCTCCGTAAATAATATTTGTTCGTTTTTCTTACACTTTTATTTTCTTGTTTTCCTGATTTATTATAAAAACCGCTTAGAAACATACAATTTTTATATATAGCAACCGACTGGTATATACCAACTAGATCCAAAATTAAAAAAAAAAAAGGTCTCTTGTCGTTTTTTTATTGAAACCCGATTTCTGACAGAAAAGTTGCTATGATATGGTAAATATGTAAAAATTGATCAACTCGGTTAAATAAAAATTAGTAGGAGACATTTGAAGCTCATTAGGTCCGAGTTGAAAACTTAAAAGATGCCGATATACCTACGGTAGATAAGAATAATTTTAAATTAATAAAAAATAACATCTATTATTATCGTAGAGTATTGTATCAAGTACCTACAAGCACACAAGAAGTACAAAATGCCTCAAACACAACTAACTATAAACTAATAACAAATAGAGACGAACATTTTTATTTCGTAATAATTTTGAAGACAATATCATATTTTTTTCTATTGGTACGGAATTGAAAACTTTATGTGATGTTATGATAGAATAATATGTATGGATGGTACGTTTAAGAGCTATCAAAAATACTTTTTACAACTTTTCAATATTCATGGTTTTCATAATGGATTCTATGCACCGTTAGTTTTAGTAATATTACCCAATAAAACATTAGAATCGTACACAAAAGCTTTACAGTATGTTATAACTTATTGCTCTTATCTTCAACTAAATTTTCACTCTACCGAAATATGTATTGATTTTGAAATGGTGGTTCACACGTCTGTCAAGTACGTTTGGCCCGAAGGTATGATTAAAGGATGCAGATTTCATCTGGCACAAATTTGGTAGCGAAAAATTCAACAACTTGGGCTATCGAACGTTTATAAAAATACTGATAATGATAATTATAGTTGGTACCTATCTAAAGTGTGTTTTTAATTTAACATTTTTGAAACCAGAGAGTGTTGGATTGTTTTATCGATGATTTAATGACCATCAAACCAGTAAATAGCAAATATAACTGTCGCACGTCGATATATTGAATTATTATATCCTAAAAACAAATATTGAGAAAGATACATTATTTTCTCCTAATATTTGGGCTGAATTTGTAGTAATCACAAATCATACCACAAATAGTGCCAGTTTCGATGTAGCTCATCCCAACATCTTTGTTTTAGTAACTTAACTCGGGATTCAAAGTGAAATTTATGTATCAATTCAGAGCTCAATAACAGAGCCTAGCAAAAAAACAGCCGAAAAAAAAATGTTTTCAAAAGAGAAGATGTTTTGTTTGACCCGGTTTTCTTTAAAGAAGTACTTTTTAAATTTTTTCCGTTCGTATGCAATTTAGTTTTATAAAATTAAAGAAGACCATTTTTGTTTTCATATTTTTTAAAACAATTAAAAAAATATTAAAATTGAGTGCAAATGAGCTAAGTTAAAGTATATTAAGTTTTTGATTTTCTTTTGTCATAAAAAGAAATTCGCGATCTAATCGAGATTAAATAAAGCATGTGATTCACATTTTGCTAACCTAACTATTCTTACAAAACAAAAATTTAATATGCTTGGTCCATTTTCACTCAATATGTATATATTATTAATATATATATATTTTTAGATTTTGAGTGAAGCGAGGGATCTATTCTATTTTTGTTGAATTTTGGCGCTTTAGTTGGTAACCTTTTAAAAAAGGTATTTTTTTTTATTTTTATTAATATTTGAGATAATTAGGAAAAACTTTCTTTAAACGTTCTTTAGATTAAAATAAAATTAAAAGATTAAAAATAAGGCGGCCATTACCAACCATTTTATTTATTTTTTGTTATTTATTGTATTATCTTTTTAATCTTTTTTTAACAATCGACGTGAAAACGCACACTATGGAAAACGCAATATCATTTACCGAGCTTCGCTCAAAATCATTTTTCTTTAGTTATGAATGATTATTCAAAAACCATTGCGTACAAATATAAATTGAATTCTCCTCGATATCCCCAACTTCTCACCTAAAACAGTGGCTGCATCCATTCCCAGTATTAGCACTTTTTTTCAAAAGTTGTTTTATAAAATATTATTAAAAAAAATCTAGAAAAGATATTGATTTGTCACGGAGATAATAAGGAACTTTTGATACACGCTCCATAACGATAATAAATGGAAAATTCGCTTTAAAAGATATTTTATACCTAAGTTTAATTGAAATTTATTTCATGAACAATACGAAGTTCAAATAGGTACATCAGTTGCAAAATGTGCAAATAATATGACTGCCGACTTCCAAGTTAGTTTCAAAGACATTTGATACGGCGATTGAGGAGAATAAAGTAGCTAATTTTATTACGGTTTGTGAATTCTTGAGGATTTAATTTTGAACGGGTACACTTAAAATGAATTGCAGATTATTATTCAACAAACTTTTTAGACAATGAAGAATATCAAGTTTATTATTATTGTACCTGTTTCTGTATTTATTATACCATTTAAACATCAAACCAAAGTCATATATACTGTTCGTTTTATTGTTATTTATATGACCGCACACAATAAAACCAAAATAATATTATTATAGCCACTATAACGGTAATAAATATTATTTGTAGAAGTTGCGCTGACATCAAAATTATATATTTTATAAATCGCGTTCTATTATTATTTAAGATGTGTGTGTCTCGGTAGATTGGAATTGTCAAACAAAAGAAAAATACATGAGCAGCAGTGTTCCGTCACTAGAGCCGAATTTTTCCCTAGCCGGCTAGTTATGATATAATATTATGGTTTTTATTTTTCGTATAGTGATAGGGAATTAAACAAAAAAAGTTTTGTCAAAATAGGCAAAGTGGTTCTCAAGATTTTCGATAAAATACAAACAGACGGTGGAGTCATAGGTACAATGTTCAAACATTTAAATGCATATTCTCGATAACAATAATTATTAATATATATATACACATTTCAATCAAGATTATTCTTACTTCTGTGAGTCAGTATAAGGCTAAGAAAATTTTAAAACTCGATATTTGATGGGAAAACATGAAATCTGAGCATAAAACGTATTAGTGAGGGGATTGAAAGTTGAAATTACTAAAAGGCACGTCTTTGATACTCACATCCATGCATTTACGAAATTCCATCCCCCTGGCTTCATTCAGAGGGTCTGCAGGGGTGTACAAAGCCAGATAACCACCCTTCTCCCGAAACAACACGGCAAAGAAGTTCATATTGAAATTCAACCGACATTTTATCCGCCTATAAAAAAAAAAAAAAACTCTAGTTCCCTAGTCTGAGCTCTATCGGTTCAGAGGGAGCCGCTAAAAGTGTCCAGATGTACCAGGGAAAAAATATATATATAATAACAGATATAGTACATTATAATCTTTACATTCGGGGAAACTGGGACAACAACGTATAGTTAAAGGGATTGGTGACAGTGTATATTTTAGTGTATTTTATTTTCAAAAATATACTTAAAGTTTTTGCCCTTTTATCAACGATAAAGAAAATTCAAATTGAAATTTCTGACTCCAACGTATCGTATAGGATAGAACCTGTAGAATAGAACCTAAAGAATCATATACAGTACGTTTTGAAAATTTAAATCCGTCGAACGCAATTCCTATGCAGCATTGTCTGGCTTTTAGGTTTAAAACGACGTCGTATTTCTCCGAAAAACGGCCGTATCCCTTCCCCTTAACCGAATATTTCGGGTAGTAGACGCGTGAAAAAGTTTTGTCATCAAGGCGGTATCGTTACGATGTATAAATCAATTTTTAGAATGTTCTGTACTTGGAGAAAATTTGAAAATTCGTCGTCAACCCGGTTACAGGTAACGCATCACGGTGCGCTGCCCGCGGCGCCGGTAAAATGGTACGCGTGCGTTTAACACTATAGATTCGCTCGCCATATTATTATGCGTTTGTTTATCGCCGTTAAATATCCTATATAATAACATAGACGGTTGCCCGTGGAAAGTTTGAAAAAAACAAAAAAACCATTTAGCTTTATGCGCGAAACGTGTAAATATAATAGCGTGCGCGAGACGTTTGCCGCCGTTGCGTTGCCCGTGAATAAATAAAAGCACCCGAGAGTGTTACATACGTGCTTATTTAAGTTTATAAATTTAAATGGGACGTGC